GCCGTCGTCTTTCAAATTTATTCACATTGGTGCATATTTTCATGTGAAATTAAAGGATAGTTTTAATAAATTTTTTTTTTTTTTTTTTTTAAAACTGCCAATATTCAACCCTTAGAATTGAATACGCATTTTGCATGCTTAGTCACTGTGTTACCCATTTTCGTGGATAACTCTATGGACTTGACAAGAACTTTCTTTTGGTGTTCTAAGCTGGCAATCCTGATATCGCGGCTCACTTTTTATCTCAACCGCGGATAGAGGTTTCGGACCCCAACTACCGTGGATTATCGGGACCGACCTGGATTTGGGCGGGTGGGTGAACGCGTGTGTTCAAGTGTGTGCGTGCTTTTTGTTGTAACGAGGGATACAAAGGATAGGTAGAATTTAGTTCTTACTGTGAACTGTGTCAACGTTGTTTGAGGTGGTCTCTTTGTAATTTGTCAGCATGGTAGCCTTTTGCACGTGGACGTAAAATAAGGGTCTTGACTTCTGTGTGTCGCATGCCAAAATTTTGCACACTGACCCTCAATTGTTACACACAAAAAAAAAAAAAAAAACATGTATATATATGTGGCGTATTATATGTATATATATATATATATATATATATATATATATATATATATATATATATATATATATAATAATAATAATAAATAATAATAATTATACTCGTCTGGAAAAAATCTTAGGTGTTTTGGCTTGTAAATGAACAAATCAATGCCCAAGGTCAGTGTACCCTGACGATCGTGTAGGTGAAACCTAGGTAGGTTTGCCTGGCTCTTTAGGTTCATAGTTATATATATATATATATATAAATACAAATATATATATATATATATATATATATATATATATATATATATATATATATATAGGGAGCATATCTACATTCAAGCATGTTTGATTGAACATGCCTATTTATTTTATTTTGATCCTCTCATATTCCCGCATAAATTTCTTAATGTCGTTATAAAATTAATATGGAAAGACGGTGTAATTTTTCTCATTCCTTTTATTTTCCTAAGTACTTTCAATCTCACCCAAGATCATCTTCAGAGATGAATTGCTATATATATAGAACACGATTTTAAAACCCATGCCAAATTCACTATAATTGGGAGAATAGAAAAGTTCAGAGCAAATAACATTAGAAAGATTTTAGAGTTTCATGAAAATAAATGAATGCAACGTTTAAAAACGCACTATCCAGCCGGGCTTAACCACAAATTTAACAATATAGATAGTATTAATATATAACCCCACAAATCAGGACCTACCCACATTTCTCATCCACACATGCTTACGGAGGTGTTGAGGCTTCACACTTATACACACACCCACACGAATATACACACTTACATACATCATACTCACTCACTCCCTAATGAGCCAAATGATAACACACACCCACAGCAATACACACGCTTACACATATCATACTCACTCACTCGTTAAGAACAAAATAACACACACACACACACACTTAACAGAGACACATCCCCTTTTCAGGAACCAATAAAACTGTCAAAATGACCAAGGGAATTCAGAGCAGCATGAATCAATCCAGCTCTTATCTCAAATAACAACTTAAAAGAGACTGTTTGACCAACACAAGGACTGACCAAAATTCAAAAAATAAAAAAAAACAACAAATGAAAACTACAGACAAAAGTTCTTTTTCTCCATCAAGACATTCATTTCTGAAGTTCACTTCTACCAGCAAGGAGAAAATTATTTTTCTCCTGATGATGGCCATGTTGGCCGAAACTAGTCGTGGAATCTAAATGAAATAATAATAAAAACGAAGGAATATTAATATACAATCCAGTGTGTCTAAAGATTTTAATTTTTTTTATTTTTTGTTGTTATATATATATATATATATATATATATATATATATATATATATATATATGATAGCTGGCCACTCGTATTCGAGGATACCTGTCTACTAGGGCAGCTAGCAAATCCCTATTGCAGACACTTGCTCAGGCACATTTGTGTTTGTTCAACACCCACAGAGCCCACCTGTGGTTTATACTGCAACTATGCTGAGCAGAACTTAGTTACAGTTTCTAGGAGTGAGCGTGTTATCTAGCGTGTCGAACAATTGAAACAAGGCCAGCACGTTCAGGTCCTCGGCCACGATGACTTATGGCTTTGTGCTAACACAGCTATCGAAGAGTTCCGTCTACCCAATTTCACTCAAAAGGCTTGGGTCAACCTGTGGTATGATTTTCAGACACTTCCTAAAGATGCTGCACGCTAGGATCAACCTCGATCCAGTCCAAAGTCGCCTTCCTTACAAATCGAGCATGGTGAGATTTGAATCCGTGTCTCATGGTCAGAAAGCAAATTTTTTACCACTCGGCTTCGTGCGCTATATATATATATATATATATATATATATATATATATATATATAAAGAAATATAGTCTTAAGGTGTGCTATATTTATGGGATAAAGTGCTCAATGACAGAGATAGAGCGTGTGTAAATATAAAAGTAAACATTGAAGTCAACACTTAGAGGCGACAATCATGCTAGACTCAATCGTCATGCCACCTGATATATATATATATATATATATATATATATATATATATATATACATACATATATATATATATACATACAAACACACACACAGATATATATATATACATCTATACAAACACACACACACACATATATATACAAACACACACACATATATATACAAACACACACATCTACACACACACACACACACACACACATATATATATATATATAAACAAACACACACATATATATGCAAACACACACACACACATATATATATACAGACACACACATATATGTATTACAATTATTTACATTATATGTTCTTATATGTGTCTATTTTATTTCATCTCATTTTATTTTCTTTGATATATATTATTTTTATAAATATTTTTATTTTATTTTATCATTGCATAGTTAATTGTTATTAATAATATTATTAACTTTTTATTGATTTTCATGAAAAAAAATAGAGTTACCCGCCTTGATTTCCAAACGTTTCTTTCTTTAAATAACTTCAGCGTCTGTTATAATTCTTATTTCCAACTTTTTTTCAATCTTAAATGTTTAACTGGGCCTAAATACAAATCCAGAATTAAACTGCAATCCATTTAAATAATTAACAACAATAATAATAATATATTTCTAACTAACGCTTTTATCTACTTTGCCATGTGTCCTTAAGGACAAAGATGGCGACAATAGTCCGAATAATGTAAATAATGTACATAATACCTCATCTCAGAAATATAGACAGATACCATATTTGATCTATTGCTAAAGATTCTCAGAAAATGGTTGGCCCATTCTATCCTTTCAGGAATTATCTGACTCATTATGCCAGGCTTTAGCTTAACAAGAATCAGCTTAAATTGCAAATATCATCACTGCCACTGGACTTCAGGCTTAATCGAGTTACCGAAATCAAACAAGTACATAAATTTAATGGGAAGCGTTTTTAAAAGAGGAGGGAAACTGCGACTTCGAAATCCAAAGGCACGTTGGGATAGCGAAAGATGCCTTCTAAAAGCTAAGCAAAGTATTAAGAAAAAATATCGGTAAAAACAAAGAAAAGAGTGTTGAACTGCTATGTAATATCAGTCCTCATATATGGCAGGAAACGCTGAGTAATCTCATCACTGATGAATCAACAGAAATGTGATTCTACAGAAGGATGCTGAGAATACCATGGACCGAACATGTGAGCAACAACGACGTTCTAGAGAAAAAGGAATTAAAAAGGACACATATTTAACACTAGGGCATATAACGAGGAAAGAGGGCTTAGAAAATCTAATACTCACAGGGCAGATAGAAAGCAAGAAAGACGAGTAAACAGCGCATTACCTGTCTGGCGAGCATGAGTAAATAAATGGCGTAGTAGGGTTTGGGAGAGATAGCAAAAAGACGAAGCTTATTAAGTGTTACAAATGACAGAAAATTGTGCAGAGCTACGATCGCCAAAGTCCTGAAGGGACACGGCACATAGAAGTTAACTTGTTTTCCACTCTACCGCCTATTTCCTCATAGATGCAAAGTTGCAAGCCTATCTCTACTCTATCGCTATTTCCATGGGGAATTTTTAGATGAGTTCCATCAGTTCAGGTCTTTTTAAAAAATCAATTAACTCCAAGCAAGGCGATAATACCACTAAAACGCAAGGGACTACTGGGATGAGGGGAGTGTATGAAAAAGCTTGAAGCAATGGATCAACGTCTACTCCTGTTCAAAAGACCTGAAAGAACAGTTGGATATTCTAGAGCACACAAGGAAAGATGGCTTGGAAAATTTGATACTCACAGGACAGACTGAAGGTAAAAGAGACCGAGGGAATCAGTGCCTAACTTGCCTGGTGAGTTGGAGCAGACATATGGCGGAGCAGGAAGCAAGGGATAAACCTCTTCTCCTGTTCATAACAGCGGAGAGGTGCTTGAACCGGGCGATAGGAGAATCTTTCTACTCCTCGGAAATATCATGCTACTTTCACGGATTCGAATCACCTTCATTTCCCCTGTGTTTCAAATGCAAGAAGGATGCTCCCCGCCCAAGAAATTCCACTTTGTAAAACAGACTTCTATGTGGTTTCTTAAGTGAATACTTCAAACCTGACCTCTTCAAGTCAAGGGTCAATCAGTCTTTCCTCCTTATAATTAATAATATTAATTAATGATATTAATTAACAATATTAATTTCTTGTCACATGAGGTATGTGATATTGTGACGTGTGATGAAAGCAGATAGCCTAAACACGCATATACGAATATATTAGGATTAATTTCCGCCTAGCAACAGAATAAAGGTCACGTGGGAGTCTTATGATATTTTGGGAAGGCAGGTCAAAAGGTTGACTGACCCAATTACCCGTAGCGACAAATGTCTAGACAGAAGCTAGACAGGGGGTGTAAGCTAGAATTCGCGCCAAAACTTAAGACACGTGACAGTCAGAGATTCACTCGAGAATCAGTTACTATCTTGACTTGGAAGAGACAAGACCTGAAGCCGAAGCGCTGATAGTTTATGAACGGAAACATAAGACGCATTTGAATGTGATGGAACTTATCCAGTTCAACCCAGGCAACTCCGGACAAGAAATATAAGAAATATTCCTGTTCGAGAATCCCAAATTGAAGAGTCTGCAAGTGTGTGCAAATTGAAGACGCAGAGAAAGTTATACGCTGAGGATTCAGCCTGCGTTTAAAGAAAAAAGGAAACCAGAGAAGAAAGCATATATCTCTGTTACAAGTTGAATTGTGTAAAGAAAAGAAAACGGATATCCAGAGAGGAAGAAAGTATATACCTCTGTTACAAGTTGAATTGTGTAAAGAAAGAAAAAGGAAACCAGAGAAGAAAGTGTATACTTCTGTTATAAGCTGAATTGTGTAAAGAAGAAGAAGGAAAGAAAGAAGAAAACCAAAGAGAGGAAGAAAGTGTACATCCCTGTTGCAGTGAGTCGGGTTTGGAAACCGAACTGTCTATAGAAGAAAAGGAAGGAAAGAAAAAGGCGAAACAAAGAGAGGAAGAAAGTGTATACCTCTGTTACAGCCGGATAGTGTGTGAAATTGTGTTTGTGTCGAGAAAAGAAAAGAAAGGACGTTGATATAAAAAAAGAGAACTGAATATAAAAGATAAATAATCATATTTTGGACCCGTAGTAGAAAGATATACATACATCCATGAATATTATGTTTTTGCAAACACCTTTCCACATGTCAAAACAATAATTGTAACTCCTATCCCATCTCTTTTGTGTATGCGTTGGCTTCTGCATTCAATTCATAGTAAGTCATACTTATATTTTTGTATGTTCGGGTTCAGTTGAATCCATCTGGTGTTAGGCGAATTTTGATATCCTAACGTAAGTCTTGAGATCTGGTCGTCGGATGTTTTAACTCATACTTATCTGTTCTTTTATTTTGATATTTGTATATTTGTATATATTAAAATTCTTGAGAACGAAGCGGACCTGGGAAAGATTATTGTTCAAAATCCCAATTGAACAGTGGTCTTATAGTTCATTGTCCATTGTCACGGAGAGATAGCTTGTATCTCTCCACGGGTGTAAGAATGTATATAATATGAATATATTTATTCAATTTTTATTCATTTCACATAACTTATACAGCACTATAATCTTGACTTAAGGCCACATCACGTTGAAACGCCGGCCCCGTACGATAACTGAAGTTAAGCAACGTCGAACCTGGTCAGTACTTAAGTGGGGGACCGCTTAGGAATACCGAGTGCTGTAAGCTTGTGCAGGTGGTGTAATTGATAATGGCTTGGAATTGTTGATCGGAGAGCTGAGTTCCAACTCCAGTTGAGTTCCTTATATTCACTTACGCACAAATATCCTATGAGTCCACCTCTTTTCCCCCAGCTAAATACTAAGACTTGCTCCCCTCACGCTAATAATTGATTATATAAATTACGACAAGTTGGCACACCCACCAACATCATACACGCCCCATTGAAACGTCAAATTTCCCATTTGACCCCTTTTTATCCATAGTTCTTTATAATTCACCACACACACACACACACACACACATATATATATATATTGTCATCCACAGACAGATTGTTTCGCTGTATCACAGCTCATTAGTGTTGCTAGACATCCGATTGCCTCAAGTCGGAATCGAAACCCGTCTGATTTGATTTGGCATCAGTCGGAGATTTTACCCCTGAGCTAACAGCGCCCTGTTGAGAGGAAGGCTAATTTTTACGTACTTATTTTTCGAATAAACACGCCAACGAGAGGGCTCAATTCGTGGAAGAGCTTTGCAGTATTATCAATAGTAATATAAATTTAATTTTTTTGTGTGTAACAATTGAGGGGCAGTGCGCAAAATTTTGACATGAGACACACAGAAGTCAAGACCCCCATTTCAAGTCCACACGCAAAAAGCTACCGCGGTGAAAACTACAAAGAGATCACCCCAAACAACGGCGACACAGTTCACAGTAAGTACTAAATTCTACCTATCTCTTGTATCTTGTATTCTTTTTATGTGCCATGTCCTTCCAGGACGTAGGCGATCATGGCTCTCCACCTCCTTCTATCTCTTGCAGCTCTCAGCAAATTCCTTCTGTCTGCTTCCTCCCCCAGAACACATTCCGTCATCCACCTGCGCAAGCTCGTGAGGTATATCACGTGCTGCTTTTCCTTGTCTCTGTTTCCCTCTATTTGACCCGTGAGTATCAGATTTTCCAGGCCTTACTTCCTCACGATATGTCCCAGAAACTTCAGATGCCTCTTTCTGATGTTAAGTATAAGCCCCATCCTTGTTTGCATCCTCTCTAAGACCTCATCGTTGCTCACACGCTCGGTCCATGATATCCCCAGCATCCTTCTGTAGAACCACATCTCCGTCGCCTCGTGGCTCTTCTTCATGTTTGAGGAAATCCCCGAACATTCGCTACCGTAGAGAAGGACATATGTCACGTAACAGTTCAGTATTCTTTTCTTTGTTACCAAAGAAATCCTTCTATCTAGTAATACTCTGCCCAGCTTTTGGAATGCGTCCTTGGCCATCCCAATACGTCTATGGATCTCAGGGCCACACTTAGCGTCCTCTGTCAAAACGCTGCCCAGATATTTAAACTTTTGCGTCTGCATGATTCTAGTTTTCCCGACCTGCAAATTTCGGGCTCATCCTCTTACTGATGACCATGCATTCTGTTTTCTTGTTTATGCTTAGTCCTTTCTTCTCTCTCTCCGTCGCTACCTTCTGTAGGAGATTTTGTAATTTCATTTCCGTGTCTGCTATCATTACTGTTTCATCTGCGTATGTTAAGATTGTTAAATGCTAAAACCCGGTAGAGTTTCCAATTCTCTCAGAATTGCCTCGCTGTATAGGTTGAACAGGTCGGGTGAGAAGACACATCCTTGCCTTACACCCCTTTCTGTTTTTGTATATTCACTGAACTCATTCCCTCTGCGCACGCATGCTGTTTGCTGCAAGTATAGGTTCTTGATTATTCTGATATCTTTCCCGAATATATCGAGGTTGCTGATCAGTTCCATCAGATCCTTGTGGCATACTTTTGCGTAGTCTATGGAACATAGGTACGCGTTCTTTGGCATCTGTATATTACTACTAAAAAAACACGCACACACATAATGACGCTTTTACACAAACGATGGCCTACTTACCCAAAATCAAATTATATTTGTTTTTGAAAAGAAAAAATGAACATTATAACATTTTACTGTTTCTCACATACGGACATAAATTATATTTATTTCTTATTAATTTGCCATTTTAAAAACGAAATAATATTCAGTTAATGTCGTAAAATAAATATTCAACGCGACTAATGTTACTCGGTACTCATGTCTGTCTCTCATAATTTTTATTTAACTAAAGTTCTTTTTTTTTCTTTTAAAATTTTTTTTTCTTTTCAATATTCTTTTCAAATAACTTGAATTTGGGCGTGTGGGTCATCGTTATTTTTCACCCTGCCGCTCAATTTTTACAAAGAAAAAATGTACTTGGATTAAATGAAAATTACTTAAACAATATAATCCATATTACTTATAATACATTCCTTCCTTGCCGACAATTTTGACGGCATGGGTACACGAGTTATAAAATAATACAGATGTTCAGTATTGTTTCATTATTTTTATATCATTATCAGAAATGTATATATTTTGTGTAACAAAATGTATTACCTTACATAATATATTCTCTTGAATAGATAGATAAAAACCTTTAATATCAAAATGAATGTAAATACAGCTTTCCTGGCTTCTAAGTATTAGAAGTATCTAAATATTTTTATTATTTTATATTGGTTTATCTTTAGTATATTAAAATTTTAACATGTTTCCGTATTATTATATAAAGAAATAATAATAATAATAATAATAATAATAATAATAATAATAATCCGCAAACAAAAATATTGCCTCTTAATTGATATGGCAGTCCTTGAAGACTGCAATGTATTTTTAAAGATCTTCAAAAAGCTATCAAAACACAAAGACATAAGAACATTAACAATTCCTGTCTTAGTTGAAGCCGTCGGATTGATTGGAAAAGATTCCAGTAGACTCATTGAAGGAATCCCTGGTAGCCCATGCCTTAAAGAAATACAAAATATTGTTCAGACTTTACGAAGGTTTTTTTTTTTTAAATTGTTCAGTGGAAAATGTCATGATGCCATTTCTGAACTTAGATAATCGGGACTCGGAAAGAAATGAGTACACACCAGAAATCAAAGGAAATAATAATAATAATAATAATAATAATAATAATAATAATAATAATAATAATAATAATTCAAATTCAAACTCTGTAAACATAACAGGTTATATCTTGCAAAATCTTCTCTACCACAATAACAATACCCAGTTCTTGATAATGACTGAGGTGGTCGAACAAAACAGAGCGAATATGAACTTTGGACAGTTTATCCACAATTTTGATCTCGATACACAAAATCTTATTCGAAATTTGAAAAAAAAAAAAATGTAACTAGATATCGTGAATTGAATTTAGCACAACCTCATTGATCTGCCTAAGTATATCTTAAACACACGCGTGCGCACACTCACACACTCACGCACACACATATATATATATATATATATATATATATATATATACATAATAACTTCAATAAGTATATACAGTGCAACCTTGGTTCTCGAACTTCTCACGTGTCGAACAAATCGGTTTTCGAAAAGAAAATTCGAGATGAAAATGCCTCGGTTCTCGAACAACATTGCCGAATCGAGTTAACCCGAACGGAATCATTTCTGAATGGACCGCCATGTTGTATATATTCGTGTGTTGTACCGTGCTTTTCTTTTCCAATTTTATTGTACTGTGTCATTTTTTCTCTACACTGATTCATATTCGTAAAACAGTTTCGGTTTACGAACATTTCGGGTTACGAACGACCTTCAGAAACGAATTAAATTCGTGAACCGAGGTTTCACTGTATATATATATATATAACTTCAAACGTTATTTTTAGTGGATACCTGTATTTGAAATAGACGTCTTTTTTTATTTTAAACAGTGTGTTGTTTCAAAATATAGGTATCCACTAAAACCAACGTTTGAAGTATATATATATATATATATATATATATATATATATATATATGAGAGAGAGAGAGAGAGAGAGAGATAGAGAGAGAGAGAGAGTGTGGCAGACAGCGAGAGAGATGTACTGAGACAGGTGGATGTAGATAAATATTTATAGTAGCCTTATTGTAGACAGTCATTTCAAGGTAAAATGAAGGCGTATAGACTTTTTTTCTTTTTTCTATTGTTTGCATTTTTACACTTCAGAACAGGATGTTATCAAATTACGGGGTTGGTTGTGATAAAATCGTTGTAGGGGATTTTTGCATTTGAGTGACGAAGATAAGTGGGTGCGCGTGTGGGGATGGGTGGAATTATCAACAAAAAACAAGTGGTTGAAAGTGTCCATATAACCAGCAAACCTAAGCTCAAGACCGGACTATAAACACCAGCAGATAACGTGACCTACTGGTCACCAGTAGAACTGCTGTAAATTTAACGGGAAACAGACTAACTGCACTTGAATAGATTTTCTTCTAGGAAATCTCTTTCTTTCATATACCATATCCTTTTAGTCTGTTGGTGATCATGGAATGCTATAATGTTTTGTCCGCTATTGTTCTAAATAACTCTTGGCCCTTTTCCGCTCATCATTGTCTTTGACCTGCGATCCGTTATTCAAGGTTCTCCCCTCCTGTGAGATTTCAATAAACCGTCTTTTCCCTAGATGAATCCCTGAAATTTCAGATCCCTTTTTCTGATAGATTCACCTAGCAGGTTTTATTCTCTCCCCGTTCAAGTCTACTCGTTACGAACATTTCTGTTCTCCTTAAAACCACCTCGTTACTCACGTTTCAATTCTACTTAACACCTATCTGATCGTTACTAGCATTTCACTTCTTAAAACCACCTCGTTACACACGTTTCAGTTCTGCTTAACACCTATCTGATCGTTACTAGCATTTCACTTCTTAAAACCACCTCGTTACTCACGTTTCAATTCTACGTCACACCTATCTGATCGTTACTAGCATTTCAGTTCTACTTAAAACCACCTCGTTAGTCACGTTTCAATTCTACTTAACACCTATCTGATCGTTACTAGCATTTCAATTCTCCGTAAACCACCTCGTTACTCACGTTACAATTCTACTTAGCACCTATCTGATCGTTACTAGCATTTCAATTCTCCGTAAAACTACATTGTTACTCACGTTTCAATTCTACTTAACACGTATCTGATCGTTACTAGCATTTCACGTCTCCTTAAAACCACTTCGTTACTCACGTTTCCTATTCTACTTAACCCCAATCTGATCGTTACTCGCATTTCAATTCTCCGTAAGACCACATTCATTACTCACGTTTCCATTCTGCTTAGCACCTATCTGATCGTTACTAACGTTTCAATTCTCCTTAAAATCACCTCGTTACTTACGTTTCAATTCTACGTAACACCTATCTGATCGTTACTAGCATTTCACTTCTTAAAACCACCTCGTTACTCACGTTTCAATTCTACGTCACACTTATCTGATCGTTACTAGCATTTCACTTCTACTTAAAACTACCTCGTTAGTCACGTTTCAATTCTACTTAACACCTATCTGATCGTTACTAGGATTTCAATTCTCCGTAAAACCACCTCGTTACTCACGTTTCAATTCTACTTAACACTTATCTGATCGTTACTAGCATTTCAATTCTCCGTAAGATCACATTCATTACTCACGTTTCAATTCTACTTAGCACCTATCTGATAGTTATTAGCGTTTCAATTCTCCGTAAAACCATCTCGTTACGCACGTTTCTCTTTTCCTTACACACATTTGTATTCTTAAAACGTCCTCGGTACGTATTTTTTGCTCTCCTTAAAACTTCCGTGTTACAAACGTTTCAATTCTCTTTAAAACCGTTACTCATGTTTCAATTCACTTAAAATCTTCACGTTAGGCACATTTCTATTCTCCATAAAACGTTCTCGTTACTCACATTTCAATTCTGCCCAAAATATCTTCGTTACCCATGTTTCAGTTCCCTTGAAATCTCGTTACGCACATTTCTATTCTCCATAAAACCTTCTCGTTACTCACATTTTAATTCTACCTATAATCACCTCATGGTTAAATTCTCCTTAAAAGCTACACGTTACGCACGTTTCCATTCTACTTAAAACCTCCTCCTTGGTACCCACATGTCTATTCTCCATAAAAGCAATCATTATTAAATTTCTATTCTATCTTCTTTATTATTCCCATTCCCCCCCCCAAACCTAAAACCTCCACGTCGATAAAATCAATTTTTTCTCTCGCTTCAAATCTTTTCTTTATCCAACTCACTTCCATATAGCAGTTCATCACCCTTTTCTATGCTTTCTAAGTACAGACGTAGAAAGGACTACGGTACCTTTCGATTCCTGTTCTAAATGTAAAGTCTTTTTTCACCCAATACAAGGCTCTAGAGACACTCAAAATAGAGGATTACAATCGAAATAGTAACGCGTAATTACGTGTGTGATATGTAAAAGAAAATAGTCGAAGAACCATTGGTTTAGCGAAAGATGTCTTCCAAAAGACAAGCAAAGTATAAAGAAACAGGAAAATTTCGTTAGAAGCAAAAAAAAGTATTAAACTCTTGTGTGTCAGCGAATGGTGGACAGTTTCTTCACAGATGAAGAGACTTGAAGATATGTTGATGAAATTATTTATATTCCACAGAATATAAATAAATCTAAGACATACGTGTGTAGCTAATCAGTATTTCATTGAGTGATTGATTCATTTTCTACAGCTTATTAACAAACAAAAAATTATAATGAGGATATAAAGTGGGGGATCAATTCTATATTACAGTCAGTATGTAAACTGATCCCCCACTTTGTGGCCAAGGCAGCTTCCATACATTTATATGCCAAAGAATGTAAATAAATCTAAAAGACATACCTGTGTAGCTAATCAGTATTTTATTAATTAATTCCTTTTCTAATTTTTATCAACCTTTTGCATGATATTTAATGCCAGAAAATATTTTTAGATTGTAAGAATTTTTTTTTTTGATCGGGGCAGATAATAATGGTTTAGTGATACAAATCTTACTGATTATCCCGTAGCTGCAGGGAGAAGATGTGGGGTCATGCCTTTCCCAAGGGTATTTGTGCGTATGAAACGAACCCAACTGGAATTGGAACTCGGCTCCCCGATTAATAATTCGAAGCCATTATCCATTACACCACCCGCACATCCAAGCGTACAGCATTTGGTATTCCCAAGTGGACATTCATCTAGGTACTTGCTTGATCGTACTGGAACCGATATTTCAACGCGATGTGGCCGTAAACCCTTAATGCGAACGGGGAAAACATGCAAAAAGGGAATGTGAATAGTGAGCTGAACAATTACGGAAAAGTTCGTCTACGAAACTCTGGAGTCGGTGTGCTGAATATACCATCAATCAGCTAAGTGACAAATTTTATTTGTATTATTCGTAAGTAGTAGATATAATAGTCGTCCAAATGTTTCAATATTTTTTATTATTATTAAAGTTAAACTAGTTTATTTTTTCATCGTATAATTGTTGCTTTTTTAAATAAAATAATTTTTTATTACAATACTCATTTTTTTGTATTCATATTCGTTACGTAACATTAAGCTTTATTTGCGATCCATCTTGCTTCTCTGATGGTCGAAGTATAAAACTATAAACTTACTGAGTATTACCATAAAATGCAAGAAAAATACAATAACCAATAACAATTGAAATGCTCCATAAAATATTAAAACAAGTCATATCTTAATATGATTTCTTAAGACGATTCCTTAAAAGATTAATGCCTCAAAAACCAAACTGGTCACATACCTTCACCGCCAATCAGACCCCGAACTACCGATGAATGAATGTCCTATCGAGGAGACTCCGTTCCTTAGGAGAATACTGTGCCTCAAACTCACACCCGACCTCAAGTGAACATCGCTAAAGATGCAGGTAAAATGATCGGCCCATTGTATCGCTCCAGTAACTGGCTCTTCATGTTATCCGCTACCATTATAAGAGCCAGATAAAACCCAAAATGGCGTACTGCTGCCATATTTGGACGGCAGCTCACTTTTCAGTCTTGACAGATTTTAAAAACGTCTCCGAGTCCTTTTTAAAGAGGATTTATTTTCCACCCTCCAAACTCTCTCTCTCTCTCTCTCTCTCTCTCACACACACACACACTCACACACACACAGGCGGGGTGTGGTAAGTCTTTCGCTGCTCTCTCACTGTTTACATAGAAAATGTTCAGACGAGCTACATTCCTTAGTTCCACCAGTTCTAACCTTCAGGGCTAGAACCCACCATGCCACTCACATTCTAACGAACCACCCTCATTCCCTTTGTATTGCATCAGTGAAGAGTAAATTCCAATCAAATAGCTTCTAGTTGCGAACCACTGTCCTGTGGAACTGAATGCCTAGAGGATGTTTCCCCGATCACAACAATAACCTGTTCAAATCTAGAGTTAACCATTATCTTCCCCTCTTATTTATATAACCTAACCCTTGACGTAACTGTCTACCTCGAGCGGTCCCCTGACCTTGTATAGGGTGAACCTTACAGTGAACATTTTTTAAAAAAATCATATATTTTGTCAAGCTTATAAGGCCGCCATACTTTTTGCGAATTTGTCATGATTGTTTTGTCAAATATAAGCCTTTCACACTTTTAAACAGTCCAAATCATCTATATAAATAAATGCGAATGTCAGTGTGTCAATGTGTCACACTTTTTCAACTTTAGTCCTGGAGGCCGTAGACCAACATATCACACCATTTTGGAATCAGGCCGACTCCACGAGCAAATTAAAAACATTCCGTGCCGGATCCGGACCCGGACCCGGACGTGATCCGGACCCGGACGTGATCTGGACCCGGACTGGATCCGAACCGGATCGAACCAGCAATCTTGAAATTTTGGATTCCCAAGTTTTCAATACTGTGATTGTTTTTGGATTCCGCCATCTTTGCTTTTACTTTACAAAAACAATTAAAAGGACACAACTCTCTAAATTTCAATAGCAAATGAAAAAATATACTGTTCTCAAATTGCAGTGTTTCAAATAAAATCGTCTATATTTTTAAGTTTATTCTTAGAGGCCATAGCCCAACATATCCTAACATTTTGGAATCAAACCGACTCCGCAAGCAAAATAAAAACATTT